CCATCGTTCTCATGCGCCATCGTTCTCATGCAGCTGTCTGGTTTTGTCTGGTTGATATGGCAGATGTGTTACAGGAAAGCTGTGTGCTCACTGTTTTCAGACACTGGTATGAATTTCACAGTACAACCGTACTGTAGGAAAATATGGTAACACTTCATTTTACAGGTACAGTCATTTTTCAAAGTTTCCTGGAAAGAGACACGTAATTTGCACTAATTATAAGGAATTATTCAATAACAATAGAAATAATATTCTGAGACAGCTACGGTGTTTGATTTTTGTTTGTGATTTATAAATAGTTTTGATAATATTCTCAAAAGTACTTCTTCAAGATGTTTGGAAGAACTGATCTTAATATTAAAGTTAATATTAATTTATTCTTGTATACTTGTCTGTCCTGGAGACATATTTCCCATCTTTGCATTTTCATTTCACCTGCTTTGAACTGACAAAAAAACAGCTTGATTATGTAAGTCATTATTTGGAATAATTAGTTGAGTAGTGTCTCTCTGTTTTATTTTAATTGTTACTAAAGTAACTTGTACTTTTAAGGTCCCTTTTTAAGAATGTATGGTGAAATATATATCAGCCCTATTCTAGGAGATGAATTGGAAACAGTGAGACTTGTAAATTCAAGATTAGGAATTGTCCTGCACGGATAATGTTTTATGTGTGGTGTCACCTGGGTGTGCAAATAACCTATTTTAGATAAGATTAGATTTAAGATGAGATTTAATTTTATTGTCATCGTACAAGTACTGAGCCAACAAAATTCAGTTTAGCATCTAACAGTAACGTGTAAAAAAACAGTAACGTGCAGAGTAATGTGTAGTGGTAATATATTGTATTAACAATAAATATATATACGATTTGAGTATTAGTACACAATATATGTGGGATGTATACAAAGTGGACAGAAGACAGGGCTCCCTTAAAAACCAACGATCAAGCCTGCAGTAACATTATTAAACTACTCTCAAAGGTGTGACCGTAGTATGAATTTATATTATCCTACTCTTGTGTAGAGGTGGAAGTATACATTTATTGCTTGTACTTTACTATACTATGACTTTTTATGACATGCTATAATATGAATTTTTTGACATTTTAACAATAAAATCCACACTTAAAAAGAAGAACACAGCTGTCCTCTGTCAACTGTGTCTCTTTTTTCAGACGTTAAAGCTTTGGGATTAAGCGCCAGTGTTCAGGCTGCCGACCGTTCATTCTAATCACTCACTTGGACTGATTGAAATCACAAAAAGCAGCTTCACTGAGGAGTCGGCTGAGTTCACCCGACATATGCAGCTATGACATTCTTTCTTCTTTGAAAAGAGAAAGAGATAATCATCAGAATGTTGGCTAAACATATTTATGTTCTCCTGATCAATTCATTCACTCAACATTTCAGCTCTGGTCACTTTTATGCTCCAACACCGTGTCCAGAATGACTTCTTTGGGGCTAAAATGATAAATCTTCAGAGACTCTCTGGTGGTGGAGACCGTGCATCTTCTCCAGAGAATCAAATCTGAAGAAAATTCATTTATCGGTTAATTATGAATTATGTATTAAGGAAAAAATATACAAAAAATACTGTCTCCAGATTCTGAAATGTCATTTGTTGGATTTCTTCTTGCTATTATTATGAATTATTTTTGTAATTTTCAAACATAATTTGCAGATTAATTAAAAAAAAAAAAAAAAATCTTTGCATTGTTTTCCATCATAATTATTTCAGAGATAGAAGGAATATATAAAATATTAGCTGATGTATAAAGACGAGATAACAGACGGTACATATTCATTTCCTTAATTTCAGTATTTCTGCCGGTACTCTTCATCTTTGCAGCTCAGGAAACATAAGTATTACATTTCATTAGACTCAATCAGATGATAATTATAAGTCTTCCTGTTTTTAATCCCTTAATAAAAATAGTGGATGAAGTATTCAGATTCAGAAAATTAATCTGCAACTTTAATGATTGAATTGTTTTCAACATTTATCGCAAAAAAGACCAAAATTAACTGAAAATGTGAATTATTAGTGTTTCTTTGTCCTTTATGAGGAAACTGAATAGTAAACTGATATCTAATAACTTTTGGACTGATTCTGATGTTTTTGCATGTGATTGAGTTGTAATTAAAATCTCTTGAAAACCCAAAGTTAACAGTTTAGTCGGCTCGTTAGCGAATCACCAGCGCTGCTCAGTCTGGATCTCAGGACTGAGATAGTTTGTGTCATGTTGATGTGGAACAGAGAAAACAAAGAAGAGCCACAAGGTTCACTTTTCCAACACATAAAAGGAAATATATTTAAAAAACTGTTCATACTGAAGAACTTTTATCATTGCAGAGTAATTTACACAAGGGGCAGTTTGTACGTCGGTCTGCCGTTTTCATATACAGGTTACACAGACGCTCACGCTGCCTCCTCTTCCCCTCTGCAGAATGGACGGTGTTCGCTTCCTTCGCAGACGGTTACACAGTTGCAGAATAAAAATCAGTACTTTAATCTCTCGTCAATTGTTAAACTTGGTTGAAACATTAATACTCTTGGACGTCACATTTGTGAAATGGCAAATGAAGAAAAAGGTGAAATGTTTCCTTTTTTTGTGTGTTTGACAAATCAAAGAGAAATCGAGACTTTTATTAGATTTTTTTTTTTTTTTTTTTTTTACAAACATCTCACTACGTGGTCGATCATTTTTTAATTTATTTTTTATAAATCTGTGGTTTAGAAATGTCACCTGAAATGCAAGGGATGTGCATCGGCGTCAAGTCAACGTCTGGCTCCGCTGCGCATCGTTTTTTCTTGCCCCCGCTTGCTTCCCTTGAGTTCAGTGGAATGTTTTTATATATATAGATAT